TAATTTATGAGATATTTAAAACAGCAATAAAATTGGTACTTTTTCCCTTCACATTCTTTGCAATAATGACCGCTAGGTTTCACAGCAGATTTTTCGAAAGTGGCGCCATCTATGAACATTTCTGGTACGCAACTTTGATGGTCACTCCTTTTCTAATACAGAGCGTTAAAAACCGAGTCGTGGTTTTAACTTTAAAAAAAAAAACTTTAAAAAAACGCCAAGTGCTGCTGGTTCGACCGAGTCGGAATTCAAATCAATTTAATCTCTTCTTCTTTTCAATTTCGATATTCACCTATTAAATGCATGTTCTTCCTCTTTTCCTATCGTATTCTCATATTACATATTCTATAGCAACAAACTTCTGTGAGTATGTCGTAAATGCAACAATTCAATATCTTAATGCTACAAATTCATTTTACTTATACAAAATACTAATTGCTCCCGGCCATAAGCCCTTTGCTCTAATTTGGCGTAAACAGCCATCAAAACTGGTCATTGGGACAATAGTGCATCTGCACCTCAGCTGTGTTTTGTCAAATTTTAAATTTTTTCTTCATCTGTCATCTACATCTACAACACTTCTCACACCAACACGCTCGCCGCCCTTCCCTAGACCCACATACTGCAGACTCGCGGCAGAGGCAGAGGCAGCTACCGCACACAAAAAAAAAACAATAAGGTGNNAAAAGTCGGTAGAGGAAGATGCAGAGGGACGGCAGAGGCAGGGGCCGAGTGAAGCAGAAGCAGAGTGTGAATGAGAGAATGTAAAAAGAGCAATAAAAGGTGCGGGACAGGGTGGGTTTAGCCACTGCAAATTAATTTCTCCATTGTGGCTATAATAATGATCCGATCGGATCCCAATTTGCTGATCTGATAGATATGGTTATTCCCTACGGAATGGCGTTTTTAGTTTTCTCTTATCTTCAAAATTTGGGAGGTTTTCGCCCTTTTGAGGGGGCGGAAGGGGGCGTGGCTCATTTTTGAAATACACTGATTTCAGTGTGAGCATACAGCAGTCTGGAGCCAAAATTTGGTGGCTTTAGCTCTTATAGTCTCTGAAAACTAGCCGACAAACAAGACGGAAAGACGGACAGACAGACATGGCTCAATCGACTCGGCTATTGATGCTGATCAAGAATATATATATACTTTATGGGGTCGGAAACGTTTCCTTCTGTGCGTTACATACAATCGTTATTCCCCACAAATACAATATACCCTATTTACTCTTCGAGTACCGGGTATTAAAAATGTATTACAAAGCTTTTGAAAGATTAGAGCCTAATATTCATTATAGAGTCTATTCGAATGATCGTTTAAACGGGCCTTATTTTTGGGGTATTTACACAAAATAATTCACAAATAAAAACCTTTTAACTTAGAAGTCAAATTCTTTACTTTTTAAATAAGGAAAAGAGCCTTGATTAATGGAAAAATAAATTTGTTCCACTATCATTCGTAGCTGGATTTTTAGAAACTTTTTTCAATTCGAAAATTTGTGAGTCTATTCGTCTTATTGGGAGTGTATATGTATGGTTTTATTTTACCAAAGTTCTGGTAAGG